GGTGTATGCCCTAGGAGGCACGGGGCAAGGATCTAAATCTATAAGAAGTCTGCAAGTAGAACTGAATTCTTTACAGTTGATTCATGGGGGTTTTATTAATGGCTGAACAGTAAGTCACAGTGGCACTGACTTGCTTGTTCTGATTTAAATACCTTCTTTTTGTACAACATTCAATCAGTATTTAGCCTGTGAAGTTTAAATTTGTCCTGTTTTCAGGAAAAACCAGGAATTTAGAAAGCATTTAAAATTACAAAGAAGTAACTTCACAACTTGAAAGGGTCTTTCAGAAAATGGGTTTGAGGACAGTCAGAAAAGGCAAAAATTATTACTTACTGGCTTTTTCAGTAAAAAGGTTTTAAACTACACTGAAAACTTTTGCTTACATTTTTGACATTGCAGCCCCCTTTTCAGATTTTCTTTGCAAATGTTCTGAAGAGCATATCTGTGTAGTTTTAGCTGAAGGTGTTACTTGGGCAAAGTTAAATGCCTCCCATTAAATCTCTTTTATGTCCATAAATTGTAAATGATTTATACTTGTAGCTATTTCAACAGTTATGTAAAACATACAGTACCATATTTATTATACTGGATATAATAAAAGTATATTCAAATAATTACAAATCAGATATAGCCAAGACTGTTAAAAGGTGAGAATAATTCCAAGAAAACAGAATTCCTGGTAAGATGATAATGTAACCATTGACTCTGAATACCAATGTTATTGTAATAAAGAGCTTTGACTGAACTTTGTGAGAGTTCATGCAAAGAGGAGGGCAAGTTTAAATTGGATTTTGGAACAACTAAATGAAGGTAACCAAGTACAGTTAATCAGACCATTAGGGGGTCTAGACTGAGAGAACAGCAGGACTGCGGTTTTGAAGACAAATTATCCAAAAATAATACATAATCTAAATTATCAATAAGCCAAGTTTAGTTTTTACTGTGATCCCATTACATAGCAAAAGTCAACTAAAACTGAAGCATGTCTGCTGTGAAAGGGCATGTGCTCCAACTTGTTTAAAATAACAAAAGTCCCAACTGACTTGTTACATAAAACATATTTTCAGACTCCAAGGACCAACAGGCTAGGACAAACGTCATTGTTTAAATTTAAAGAACTCTGCGTGTGTTTCCGAGTTGGTGGTAAGATGTCTGATAAATATATATACTGGTAGGTTGTACAAGTAGGAGAAAATATTTATCTTTTAAGTCACATAAATGTGTTTTGGCTGGCCTATGCTGATGGCATAACTCCTCCCTTCTTTATGGTTTGGTGGTTTTATGTGGATTGCAAGGAGGTTTTGTAGAATGGCCACTATACTCACCATTATTCCTGGGAACTCTGTGGCACTACTACTGGACTTCTATTACCTGAAACAAGTCTGTGTTCATATTTGGGAGGAAAATGGGACCAGACAATGCCAAGCCCCTCCACCACTTTAGGTTGTCCTCTAAACCTTTCACCCTCTGCGGCTCTTTCAAATATTTGTTGGCTGCTTTCCTTTACTCTTCCTCTCTCTTTTTCAGATCTCTACTAGGAAACTTATTTCAGTTTCATTTGTCTCTTGTCATGTACATTTTGGTGTTTACTCATAATGTTGACTACTGAACATTCTGCAGTTTGTAAGTTTGACCTCTAACTCAGATTCTGCAGTAGTAAGGATGTGAAGTTTGTTGGTAAAGAAGGAACACTAGTGGCACATACACTAAAACTCTAATTTGAAAGTCAAACAAAACCACACAATTATGATCTGGCAGAGCAAAGAGAAGTGAATGATTTAGTTACCCATTCTATGTTTTGGTAGCCCACACCACATTCATAAACATTCTTTTCCTTTATTCAGCTATTGAACCACCTTACAATTTGGCTCTTGTTGTCTGGAGTATTCTTTTTGTACAGTTTACAAAGAAAAAGAAACTTGTATCTGCACTGATGGGTTGCCATGGTATTACTGATAATTATTGTTGAGTAATGTTTTGATAGTGCACCAGAGCTGCATCTTTTAGTGGCTCTACTCCCTCTGGCAAGCTGCCTATAAATATCTATTATTTATACATATTTTTGGCCCATTGACCTTTGGGCCTACCACCTGCATTACAAAAAAATTGTTTCTGTGGATGTCAATCCATTCATCTCCTTTTGTGCAAGGAAAGTGCTCTATACAGATTTGCATAATGGCACCTTTACACTCCTTTAAATCCTTCTGTTATATCAAAGAAATTTGGCAATTTTAATCATTAATGCATTGCCACTTTCTGCTCTAATTTCGTTCTTTGTTACACGCTGCCATTGCCAATAATGTACTCTGGAAATTCTTCAGGATTGTGTGGTTTTGGCTTTGCTTATCAAACACTGATGTCTCCTTGTAATAAAATTAGAAGACGGTAAGCAGTAATGGAGGTGTCTCACAGACATTTCCTGGGTCAGGACTCTTCTCAAATGGCACATCCTACTCTTTCTTTAAAACTAGACCAAGTATAAAAGCCTATTCAACATTAATTTTATACATTGGAGTTGTATTTTGGTGGGGGTTGGGAATTTTCTTTCAGGTTTTCTATAATTTTAGGTGATTTTTTTTTACTGTAATAAACATCTGCACTTGACTAATGAAATAAACTGTTTCAGACCTCATACTTCTGAGTGTAATTTTAAAACCCAACAGCAGTCTATACAGACAGCAGAGAATGCATCCAGTTCCTCAGGAGATGTAGCACAATGGATTGCTAGAATATTTTCATTAATTTGCCTCTACTGTAATTGTATAAGCTGCACATATAAACTTGATAGTTGGTAATCACAGAATGTTTGACTGGTATAGAAAACTTGCTGAGGTTTGCCAGTAATGAGATCTGAATATCTGGAGCTGCTTTACGGGCTGTGCCAGGTGAGCTCCCTGTTTCACTGAAATCCCATATTCTCTGAGTGTTTGCATGTTGAGTTTTTTAAATGGGGTCTGTGTTTCAGACCATTTTACTGCAAACAAACATAAATCTAACAATAAGTAAACTGAGTGCAGATGGGGTTATACAATACAGTTCCTGTGCTGGGACTACTGCCACCTCCAGAAATTCATCAGAAGGAAATCAGGTACTGTTCTGATGAAGTACTTAAAAGATAAAGCTTCGGAAGCTTTTTCAAGTATCCTGGCTAGAAACAATATGTCCTACAATGAGGTTCATGGAAAAGGGGTAGCAGGGGAAAACAGTGGACTATTCCAAATAGGGAAACCGGAAAAAGATACAGAGAAAGCTACTACCCAGTTGCAAAACTGTAACCTTTACAGCATAATGTATCTAAGTTTATCTCACTAGCACATTAATAGCAGCAGATGCTTTACCTTAATCATGTATGACTCCAAATTAAAAAAAAAAACAAAAAAAAACAACCATACTGATAGCTGTGGGCAGGATTTTCTAGGAAGGGTGCACATATTCCTTCCATCAATCTAGAAATTACAATGTTAACATAATTTAAAAATCTGTGTAACTGTTTCTCTCCAGAGAGAGAATTCTCTACCTTTAGACAACTATCAAAGAAATAATGTAGCTACACTACATAGAAATGTATAAAGAAAAACTTCAGAGGTTCCCTGGTGATGTTCTTGCAAAGCTCAGTGATAGCAAGTACATAATGTCCTGTGATGCCTTGGCTACCTGAAATGTGATGTACCAAGGCTACCTGAAAAAGTAATCAAGAAATCTGTAGCTGCAAACTAAGCCAATTATTTTCTTTCTTCTCTCTCTGACGTACACCTTTTTTTTAACAAAATATGTACACATCTGTAGGCTGTTGTCATGGTTGTAGTAGTCATCTTTCCTAGATGAAATGTCTCTCAACCTTCTTATGTAGTTTTTAAAAACCTTTTCATTTCTTTTTCCTGTTGCTCTTCTCTGGACCCTTTCAAGTATGATGAAGTCCATTTCAAAGACATTATTTTAGCTTTAACCAGCAAATACTTTGATAGATTTTATTCCTGTAATATTTACTGCTGTATCCATAAAGACTGATGCGCCTGTCTAACCTCGGAGTCATTTGTTTCAGCAGACTTATCAGTGCTCAAAGTAAGCATGTACACAGAGCTTAAGCAGCACAGAGCTTAACAGCCTCAAATTCAAAGTGAATGTAAATAAGGAAAACAAAAGCTAGTAATTTTGACGCTTACTAGATTTACTTTTCCAGCAGTTTACTCATAATTCTGTTCTAGAAATGTGGATCTTCCTTGAGACTTTCCTCTGTCCTCAGATTTTATCTGTGTCTGATTCACTTAAAAAGCAAGATAGTCTCTTCCACAAAATTTCTGAAATTAATCAACATTTTACAAATAATCACTAACACCTTTGGAATTATACAGAAATACATATGAAAATAACACGAATACTTTCTAAATGGTGTAGATTTCTACAAAAGTTGACACAAGCTTCTTATGGAGTATATCCTGACCAAAAGATAAATCATTCTGAAATACAAATAACATCTCTGAATATTGTAATTTACATAAATTTTTGTAAGGTTACTGTGCTACTTACATATGGATGCAGAAATGTTTTTCATATATGTTACAGCATAATGAACGGTTCTAAGATAATTTTTTACAGAAAATACTCTATTTTCTAACACAAGGGAATGAATTAATGCCACAGGAAAAAATAGGCCTAATCCTGCCTTTTTAAAACAGGAGAAAGATGGGGTGAGCTTTTCACCAAACTAATGGGTGAAACAGGCAAAAAATGAAATTTGGCTGCATGTATAATGGGTAAATTTATCTGATTTGAATTATACAAAATAATAGGTTCTTTCTATTCAAGTCTCATCCCAGACCCACCCCCCTTTTCCAGCCCTAGGGGAGGGAGCGTTAAATAATGGTCTGTGTAAACTGATGCTCATGCAGTAAGAGTTTGGAGAAGTGCTGTTTGTACAAGTTAAAGCAGGCACTGAAGAAAGAGCAACCAAATAAAAAGCAGCTGCAGGAGCAAAGTGGACCCTTCTGAAATTAAAAGACATGTCTTTCTTCACCAGAGTTTTGACGATGAAATGCAAGCAGACACTTGAATGTGAGAGGACTTACTTTTACCAGGCGCTTTTTGCCAGCAGCAGGTTTCCCGGGCAGCCCCGGCTGTGCAGCAGCCAGTCCCTGGAGGTGCGGAGCAGCCCGCGGGCGGCGGCGGGGAACAAAGGCGAGGGGCGCGGAGCGGAGCTGCTGGAGCCCCCCCCGCGCCGCCTGGGCAGGGTGAAGAGCCTGCACGAAATGCCCGGACCCAACACCCTCTACAACCTCTACGAGTTCTTCTGGAAGGACGGCTTCGGCCGCATTCATGAAATCCAGGTACAGCTCCCTCGGGTATATAATGCTTTAATCACGCCACGCTACTTAAACCTTTCCTTTCCTCCCCTCATAAAGCGCTGGTGAATCGCCGGGTCAGCAGCACCGCAGCTGGGCATCGCCGCGCCGCCTCCCCGCTGGGGACAGCCGGGTTTCGGGGGATCCCCCACTCCAATTCCCGCAGCACCGGAGGCTCCGGTAGTTTTGTTTCCCAGGGGATCCCACGATCCCGGTTCCCCGTGCTCCGGCGCCCGCCAGCGCTCCCCGCGCATCTTTGTGCGCGGTCTAAACCGGGGAGGCGCCTCAGACTGAAAAAAAGTACCTTTTTTTTTTTTTTTTTTTTTAACTGGGCTGTTTCACAAGCTTGCAGAGGGCTTATTTTTGGCTGGCAGGGCTGAGAAGTTTACCAGGACTCTTAGAGCTCAGCACCCACCCGTGCGGCGAGGTTGTGCCGGCAGCCGGGGCCGCACAGCCCTGCCGCGGCTGAGGCGCCTCGGCCGCTGCCCTTCCCTCAGCCCGGCTCGGCGCTGCTCCGCCGCGTTCAGGGACCATTTTGTCTCTCCTATCCCGGCCTCCCCTTACGTAAATACACTTTGCCTATATCGGTGCCCTGAGGGGGCGGTAGATGCGCCTGGCCCCGCTGCCGTCAGCGCTAGCCGGCCCCCGGCGGCCGCCCCCGTCCCTTGGGCGGGAGGCGGGCGGTTTGAACCCTGCCGGGGGGGCGAGGCTCCGGCCCGGGAGCGGCCACGGGCCCCGCGGCCCTGCCGCCCCCTCCCCGGCCTCCACATTGGAGCGGGGGAGGGGAGCGGGTGGCGGGAAGCGGGGCCGGATGGCGGCCTGAGGGGAGGGAAGGAGGGAGGCGGGCGAGAGCCTCTCCTGTCACCTGGCGTGTGGCGGTGCTGGAGCCTGGGGAGGCGGTCAAGCCAACCAGAGACCGGGTGGGGCTTGAGAAGCGTCCTCTGGTCTGGGCACCTGCAGTGCTGTGGCGTCCCGCAGGCCGCGGCGGGTCCCTCGCTCGGTCGCACCTGGTGAGGGCGGGTGAGGCGCGTTATTCCTGCGGGAGCTGCGTGGACCAGGATCCTCCTTCTCTGCGCAGCGCCTCGGGGATGCTGGCATGGGCAGCGCTCTTACCATAAGGCTGTCGCTATCCAGAGATAAATTCTTTTGGCTGCTTGGCCAAACATGTGGGTTTCATTCCTGAAAAGTCACAGCGCATCTCCTGGGGCCCTTTCCCCGTGTAGTCCAAGAGATTCTAAAGGAAGCACTTTGTGTAGAAGAGAGGAAAGCTGTGTTTTTCACTCTTTTGCAGCTGTGGATCCATAAGCTTTCCATCGGCAGTACGCCGTTTGGAATACCTCAAACGGGGTTATTTTGTTATTTTGTTTTTCTTAGTGACCTTTCCCAAATCGCTAGGACTAAATTCACAGTCAGCCCCAAGAGGTTTGCTGCCTGAAAATTACTGAAATTTCAGGAAGAAAGAAGAGAGAGAAAAGGAAATAAGAATAGAAAAGGGAAACGAAAGAAAATAGAATTTTAAATTGTTTGAGAATCAAAACCTGAAAGTTAAGATTTACAATGGGCCTAAAAACACCAGAAAGAAGCAGGTGACAGAAAAAAAGAGAATCACATAAGTTGCTTAGTTTTGTCCAGCTTTCTTATATTTACGATTTAGATTTTTAAGAAGAAATGTTAGGATCTATGCTATATTCCATGGCAGCCAGATCAATTTGCTAATGATGAATTGCTCAGCTTGATTGCTTGCTAACCGAGACACAAGCTTCAGATGAAACCTGAAGACAACTAAAGCTTTTTGTTTCATTCAGTTTCTTTTTTTCCTCTAACTCTGTGGTGGTGTACAGAATTTGAGAGGTACTCATCATAGTTTCATAGCACTAAAAAAGAAGCTACCATTGGATTCAAGTTCTTTCACTGTCAAAACGGTGAAAATTATTCAAAATATTAAAAAAAATATAACACATACTAAATAGTATATCCTTTTCACTACCATTAACTGATATGGATGTTTTCTTCTTTAGTGAATACTATTCCTAGAAAGTGTGAGGAAGGATAAGAAGAAGTTGCAATATAATACTCGTTTTCATTCTGCTTAGAGTCTCAAGAATCACAGGATGCCCTGTTTGCCTACACATAGAATGCAAGTAGGCATTAAATTTAACAGTCTGTTAAATTTAACAATACAGTGAACATGAGGAATGAATTAATCCCAAACGCTTTGGGAACCAGCACAGCTACTTAAACGGTGTCCTTTGGTGCACACAAATATTTGCCCGCTATATGCAGAAGGGGTGGGGAAGCCAAGTGCTTTTTCACAAAGGAGGTTCTGTTCTCAGTAACATGATTCCAGTTAGTCCTGGCCAAAGTAGTAATGCCTACAGCAATTATGACAAAGGGAAAGTATTTTAAATTTGATGGGGTTGGATCTCCTTTGTCTCATCAGTGCTATGCAAGGCTAAAGAAAAGAAAGGTGAGGAGGGAGGGCTTAGGATGCCAGCAGTTTGAATTGATGGTGTGTGAAAGAATGACTGATGTGAGAGTGGTATGTGAGGCATTAGAGTGGAACATTTTCAAGGTTTGGAACGAGAGAAAGAAAAACCCATGATGTGATAGAAAACATGGAAATAGAAATCCTGGGCATTGTTTTATACATCAAGTTGATAGAATGGTGTTCCGTCTATTGAAAGAAAGGGATGTCCAAATACTTTGTCCTTGTTCATTTCTGGTGTAAGACTAGTATTTAATTTATTTGATTGGATATCTTGTCACTTGATTTATTTTCTTCTGAAATTTGTTGTTCCATTTAAACCTCACCATCAGTGAAAATAATAAACTGCTCCATAAATACCAAAATTTGTTGAACCATTTTTCTGTGACTGGTGGCCTGTATCCTCCTCACTCCACTGATTTTTCCTTGCTGTACTCCTTTCCCAACTCATGCTTTCCTTTAGAGACACATACTCTCAAAGTTGTGACCTCCAAGTTCAGTATCCCTGAAGTATTTTTGAGGCAAGAGTTTGGGTTTTGGGAGTGGTTGTTCATACATTGCTCCATCTGTGGTGTTGGTTAGGAGCAGACCAAGCAGAAATGACAACTGACTTCCTGCTGTAGCATTTCACTCATCAGGATGACTAATACATGTGTCTCATGTGAATCCAGAAGCTGATTTTTGAAAATGGTAAGAATATCGTTTTGGGAGACCTTTAGAACTTAGACTGAAGTTGGCCATTGTGTTCCAAAAGTAGTTAAGAGGTGACTGGTAGAGACCACAATTGCACAACTCGTGTTTTATTTGGAAACTAGACAAAAAGAATTACAATTTTATGTGCACTTGGTATCATATTCTGAAGAGTGATTCATGTGTCTTAAACTTATTGTTGGCAATTAAACAATTCATTTCTGTAACTAAGATTGAATAAAATATATTTCACCTGAGTTAATCTTGGGTCAATACTAGACTTTCACAAGTGTAGTTGGTGTCAACCATCTTTGGTTTATAATCAGCGTAACTCTCTGTGCAGATGTCTTTAGATTAGAATGTAGGTAGTGTGTCAAAGTTGAACTCTGGTCTGTTTAACTTGTCTTAATAGTTTAACCAGAAATAAAAGCTTTAAAATTGATTGTCTTTTAAATAACTGCTTTGCAGTTTTGCTGGGGTTTTTTCCCTCTGAAATGAGGATGTACCTCAACTCCAAGTGAATTTGTGAAAATTGAGAGTTTCACTTCATGACCATGTCAGAATGAAAATTATTTTAAATAATCAGTAACATTTCATGGGACAGTGATAGTGCAATCTTACTGGTAAACTTTTTAGGTTGGTTTTGTTTGTTTGGTTTAATATATATACACAGTTCAATGTTTTCCAATCCTCTTTATTAATTTCCAGTCCTCTTGTTTGCCTCCAGCCTGAATCACATGATTTGTGGATCAACCACTCAATAAACTCTACTGCAAGAATAAGACCCCATTTCTTCCTTTCTTTTGCAGAATTAGCATATGTCTCTCTCAAGTTCACTGCTGACAAATCTGTTCCAAAATGCAGCTTTTCACTAGGCTGTTGTGCTGTCAATATTCTTGGTTAGGTGTGATAAACTCATACAAAGTTTTTTAATAAGCAATTAAATAGAGTAAGTAGTTATTACACATGATATTAAATTATATATTTGTATTATGCTGGTAATTTAACCCTATATACTTCCATGTTTTTAATTTTTGCAGACATTCTTTCTAACCTGTTTGATCTGAAGGGATGTGTTTTAAAGTCCACCAGGTCCTTTCATCTTCTCAGTGTTTGGTTTCACTTACGCTCTGCCTTAGAGCTTTGGGTCTTTTCAGTCAGGGTCCTGAACCCTGTGACCTCTCTGTTTTCCTTGTGAATATTTCACAGTAATGCTTAGATGCTTCTCCTGACATTTCAAACTGTTCCTTGACTAGAAGGCTGGGGATCAAATTTTAGATGTGAGAGATTGTGTATGACAAATTGTCAGTTTCCTTTTGTGGTAGTTTTCCTTAGTAATACTTGGCTTCTGTTTCTCTTTGTTGGTGATGTTGTAGCAAAAACACACTCAGGAATATGGAAAGATCTTCAAGTCTCACTTTGGTCCCCAGTTTGTTGTATCCATTGCAGATCGAGACATGGTTGCTCAAGTCCTCCGAGCAGAAGGCAGAGCACCACAAAGAGCCAACATGGAATCCTGGCAGGAGTACAGAGATTTACGGGGGAGAGCCACAGGGCTCATTTCTGCGTAAGTGTTGTTAGTCCTTCACTTTCCTTGTTTTCTTGTGCAAGTTTAGTAATTTTCTGAAAGACTGTACAAGTCATCTGGGAAAGCAGGCTTTTCTGTGTGGGGAAATTTGTTCGTCTAGTGGGGGGAAGGGAGCAGGTATTTGTGGTGAATGCTGTGCATTTGTTCTGCTGTGAAATTTCAAAGGGATGGTAATGATGTGTAGTTGAACGTGCAGTGAGCTACTTTACATGAAGACATTCTTTGGGAATGTGTATCAACTGGAGTTGTCTGAGCTGACTCACCTGCAAACAGTTTTACAGAATAGAGCTTACTAGCTTTGGCATTGCACTGCATGAATGTGGCTTTATTGCATCAGTTCTTGACTCTTCCATCTGGATGGCGGTGTGCTGTGCGGAATTGTTAGCTCAGATTTGTTTTAGCTTTATGGTTCACTGAAATGCCCCCTCCGTAGACTAACGTAGAGAATGGTCAATTCACACTGTAGTGCATCCCCACACAGATATTTTTGAATCTGGCTGATTCCAGAGGAGTTATCTGTCTGTACAGCTTGCATAACCTGGCAGAGCATGTGGGTGTGGTTAATTGCCACTGGGAACTACTCACAGTCCCCACTGACATAGGATGTTTATTTAGAGGGAAATTAATTTCCTGAGTCATGGGCAGTCTGTTTTTTCATGGTAGCAAAAGGCTTTATGTATTGCATTGCAGACTCAAATCTTAAGCTGCAGTTGAGACTCAAACTAACAGTTTCTTGATACTTAGTGAAAAGAGATCTTAAATCAGAGGACTCAGGAAATATTTATTAAAGACATTAAATTCTTCTGCTGGCCAATAAGTTTCTGTGCCTTGCAGTGGCATTGCTCCAGGTAAAAAAAAAAAAAAAAAGTAATGGGAAATATAACAATTTAAAATAAACACATAAAAGATAATTACCCATTTTCATAAGGAATGGAAAGGTATTCCTGGAACCACTTTTCCCAAATACTCTGTTGATATGGAGCATGTAGATACTAAATTCCAGATTTTTAGTCTTCAGCAAAAAGGTTTCCATGCATGGATCAGCTAAAGCAGAATCTGTAGCTGTAAGTCATTTCTCTACAGGTAGGTCTGCAGGTTTAGAACTGGGGTAGCTGAAAGTGATGTATCAGTAATGGAATTTATGGTACCAACTCAAGCTGTTGATTTGTCAGATCTGAATGTGATACTTTTACTTGGTAATTAAGTACTGGTTCTGTGTAAAATCAATTTTGCAGACTACCTATTCAAATATTTATTTAAAAGCAATTTTAGTAGATTATTTTACTAATTTCTTGCGTTAGCCACTACTAGCAGACTAACATCGGGACACTTGTCAAATTCAGAATACTGAGTGGGCAAGTTCTGTCACTCAACCCAGAGATTGATTGACACCTTAAAATACATGTTGTGACACTGAAATTTAATGAGGACATGCAATAAATACAGAATAAAGTTGTAGGAGCATAACACAAAACACCCATTATCATAATTTTCATTTTACCATTTGTTTTCATTTGACATGAAAAATCACAAACAGTATAGTTGCAGAGCTCTTACCCAGCTGATGATTGCTAAGGAAAACTACATACAGACTTTATTAATAATTTCTTCTAGGGAGGGGGAGCAATGGCTAAAAATGAGAAGTGTACTGAGGCAAAAAATTCTGAAACCCAAAGATGTGGCTATTTACTCTGAAGGAGTCAATGAAGTTATCACAGACTTAATTAAAAGAATCCACACCCTCAGAAGTCAAGAGGAGGATGGGGAAACAGTGATCAATGTTAACAACCTTTTCTTCAAGTACTCAATGGAAGGTAAGCCCAGGCTGGATCTGTAAAGAAAATGGATGTAAAACAGTGTGGTTGTGGTTTGGCATGTCTGTCAAATGACTGTGCCCTGTTGTGATTAATCTGAAAGGGAAGTTTGATAGTCTGCATTCATGTGTCCTTCTAGTTAGTGCAGTGGGTATCAGTAGAATTTCTTTGCAAAGTTCAAAGACATGATACATTGTATTAAGGAGCAATTCCTATGGAAATGCTGGTGTATAGGTAAGATGTTCAATCAAGGCCTTGAACAGTCTCAGTATTCCATATTTCTGTATTTATTTCTCAAGAATAAGGGTGCAGACCTTCTAACAGATGGCTTCTAAGACATGTTAATTTCACAATATACCAGCCAAATTCCAATGAGGAATCCCCATGTGATGCATCTAAATTCAGTCCATAGCTTAATGTGGGAAAAGATACTTCTTTTCCCTGCCTACAGATGCCAAGTATGGGATTGTTATGCTTGCCTTAAGATCATCTACCACTGGGTACCATTAATGAGGGGAATGCTGAATGAAGCTCTGGACTGAGCCTGTATGGCATTTCCTGTGTTCTTACAGAAATCTCATAGTGATACATACTTCATGTATTTCTTTAACTATCTTTTCTAATCTTGTTAGATGTAATGTCTTTTAAAAACATTGGTACTCTTTTCTGACAGGCAGCTGAGTAATTTGGGATTTGAAGAATTTCCAAATTGCTCACTTATGAAGATGTGTCAAATTGCTGGCTGCCTGCTTGGTCTGTTTCACATTAATAGTGTCTAAAAATGGCATTTAACTACCAGTTTATGGAATTTCAAACTATGAGCTTACAGATTCACTATAACTGATGGGTTAGTTTAAATTCTTCACATTCTTTTATTTTTTCATTTATAATTGTGCTTGGCACACTTATTTTCCACATGACTTGCTGTTTATTTAACTTACTCTGTAACTGTTCAGGGAACCAATACATAAGATTTCTTTGAAAGGACCTAGTAAGCAGCAAGAGGATGTAGAAGAACTAGCAGTTTCTGAAAGAGGCACACAAGAAAGAAAAGGCACAGAAAAAAATCTTCCCATGGTGGAAAATTAGGAAAGGAAGAGTGAGTTGAAAATAACCAAATTTTAAAATTATTTTTGTCAGCAAAGATAATTTCTAGTGGGGATGCCCACAGTACTGCAGAAAAAGATCTGAAAATTACAAGTCAGAACAAGAGACAGTCAACATTGTCACTTGCAACAGTGTCACACTTCCTGTTTTTTAGGGCCATGTGGAGAATGGTGTGTGCAGTAAAGCACTGTCTGGAGTGCAAGCTTTTTATCCATTTACACAGACTCAATATCCATTTGCTACTAACTGATGACAGACACAGCCACTGGTAGAAACTCCTGTGTTGTCACCAGTTATCAGAAATGTCGTTGGACTTGTGTGTCCCTGTGTGTTCAGAGGCCAACAGGGCAGGCTGAGGATTTGTAGTGCAGGGTAAAACACAGCGAACAGGCTGGAGGCTGCTCTACTTCTGGTGGAATTCCTGTCTCTTCCCATGCTGAGCATTATTGACATAGCAACTACTCTCTTGCTGCAGTGCTTAGCTGGGCTGTTTTACTGTGTTTTGAATTTCATTTTATGTTATTTAATTCCTTAAATTATTAATATGTATTAATGCATGTGTATAGACAATTCTTTCATTTTTTTATGTGCAGGTGTGGCAACTATTCTGTATGAATGCCGGTTGGGCTGCCTTGAAAACAACATTCCACAGCAGACTGTTGAATATATTGAGGCTCTGGAATTGATGTTTAGCATGTTTAAGACTACTATGTATGCAGGTGCTATTCCCAAATGGCTTCGCCCACTTATTCCAAAACCCTGGAGAGAGTTCTGCAGATCCTGGGATGGACTCTTCAAATTTAGTAAGATTTAGTAGTAGAAAAGTTCAGCTGTATTTCTGCAGGTTCTGTGTGTGTTTGAACGGGACAAGCTGCATTTCTCTTCTAAAATTTTAAGAAGACTTTGTGGCAGAAGTAAGTTTCATATTAAATACAGACTGGCCAGGGGAACTGTTTTAAAAAATATTCTGCTGAAAATAAACTTTACCAGTAAATTTCAAAACTCCTCCCCTATTTTTTACTGTTCTTTCTTTATGTATCTTCATCTGCTTCAGCACCCACTTGCCACTCCAGGTCCAAGTGCTTTGCCAAGGTTTTATCTTAAACCACTTCAATTTTAATGAGGGTAGTTTTGTTGATTTCAGCAAAATTTCAATTAAGCACCCTGACAAATAATCACCACAAAAATTATCTAGAAAGTTAATAAACTAGCCTCTGGCAATTAATTAAATACTTCATAAAGTTGATTTATGTATACACAAGTGTATAAGGTGACATTGAAATGCATTGATGTACTCCAATATGGGTTTCTTTGGTAAATAAAACATCCCAGGCTACTTTATGAATCAGTTTTCATATAAGTTCATGTAAGTAGGAAGAAGGAGTTGTCTTTGCAATTTTATTTTTTTAATGTTCTTGAGTGTTAAAAAAACTTGAACTGTTTTCTCTCTCAAATATTGAGAGCTGGGTTTTCATTTTTTTCTAAGTTTATTCTGTGAGCCATTAACTTTCTGAGGAGTTTTTATCTTCTTAAATCCCTTGCTTGACTGCTTAAATCCCTTGCTTGACCAAAGATGTTGTTTGCAGTCACTAGAGTATACATGGAATTGTAGGTGAAATTTCTCAGTGTGTCATTCACTGAAGTTTTTGAATTTTTGTTATTCAAAACAAAAGATGCTCCTCATCTTTGTCTTCAGAGTAATTAAGTTCTGTGGCTTTGACCTTCTGGTTGCTGCTAGCATCTTGTAGAGATGCTTGCTAGCATCTTCTTGCAGAGTCATCAGGAGACAAGCCAGGTGGGCATAAAAACTTGTCCTCGAGCTTCTCTCGAGGAAGGGAACTGAAGTCTCTTGTGTCATTTCTTTGTGCTCAGCATTCTCATGCTGTGAACTACCAGGGTTCCTGACAGCTCAATCTTTCCTTTCCATGAGTACCCAAGGACCTCCACTACCACTCTAAGATTTTTCCTTATGGAAATTTTTTTCCCCCCCAGATGTGCAGTGTAGTGTGAGAAATGTGGTTACTGAATGGAACCAGCAGAAAAATAAAAATGGAGGCTTAACAATTTTTTTGAATCCCAAAGGTCAAATCCATGTTGACAACAAATTGAAGGCTATTCAGTCTCAGCTGGACCAAGGAGAAGTACTGAAAGGTGGGCTACTTACACACCTCCTAGTGAGTAAGGAACTTACTTTGGAAGAGATCTATGCCAACATGACTGAAATGCTTCTGGCAGGAGTGGACACAGTAAGCTTGTAACCTTTTTTCTCGTGCATAGTTATTTTTGTAAACCAGTATCACTGGCAGATCTCTTCACAGGGGTTACCTTTTTTGTAAGGATGTAATTTTAACATTGAAGCCATGACACCTTTAAAGTGATACAAAATACTTCCTGTACTGTGTAATCTCTCCACTGGAATGAAATCACCGCTCTAGCTGTGTTTTACAGGAACCCACCGCTTGAGTGTCTGTTCCACAGTTTATTAAACAGATAAAATAGCAATTGTCTTTGCATTCAGCTTGTATTTCAAGCATTTTCTTTTCATAGTTTGCTTATCAGGTAGGTGTTTGTGCTACTTTAGGTAAACCACAGTAGAAAAGTTAGCTGAAAGTTAATGTGAAAAAAATAGATCAATAAACTCATGTGAGGAGTTTGGTAAAGGATTTTCATGTATGGCTAGTTAAACCAAATGGAACACACATTATGGATCAGATACCTGCTTTCTGCTGGCATCCATTAAGAGGGAGCAGTTAGGCCAGCAATGATGTGGATAAGGCATAAATTCACTCTACCCCTGCTTGTGGTGGCAACACAGAGTCAGGCTGAGGCAAAAAGGCTCAGTGTAAAGGCTGTGTAAAGGCTCAGGACTAATGGGGCTGGTGTATCCAGTATGTGAACACCTAGGAATGTGTTTCAAGTGTCTCTCATTCTTCATTCTTCTGATTTGCCATACAGACCATTTGAAGTAACATTAATGTTGTGCGTGTATCTTCCCTGCTCATTCCTGTTGTATGAAATCAGTGTGGCTCAGTATTGACTGCAGCATTATAATTGGAAGAATAAGGAAAAAGAAAGATGAGATATTGTATGTACAATGTATACAGAGTTATTTAGAATATCAATGAACTCTACTACTATAGATGATTGCTACTGAACAAATTTTTAAAAGAAATTATATTAATTTGATAAAGAAGTGGTATGTAGGACTTGAATAGTCTTAAAGTAGAAAAGTTTAAAATAAGTAAAAAAGTAAAATGGTCTTAAAGAAAATAAAAACTCTCTGGATAATTGAATTCAGATTTTTTTTTGGTTAAGAAAGTTGTAAGGTTTCTAAAGAAAACGAAAAAACCCCAACAGCAGTCACTTTTGAGTTCCAAAATAAGGAGCATATGTAAAACTTCTTTATATGCTGAATATGACTCCATTAGTTAAATGTCCCAAGGGCTTATGAGTTTGCAGACATTTTTGATGTTTTGTTCTTGAATAAAACACAGTTATTAATCCCATTCATTTTCTAATCTTTCAGAGCATGAATTTTCCATTTTTAGTGTGTGACATTTGTCATTAAAATAAAAGGACAATGCTCATGCCAACAAGAATTTCCCTTTCCATTTGATTCAGCTTTCTCAGCTGGCAGCAGTCTTTTTCTGAGAGGACAATACTTCTGATCTCTTCATTTTCAACTACAAAACAAAAATTGAAGGAATCTTTTTTTTCCCTACTGCCGTCAATTCAGATCTCATTTTATCATAGAAACTGAAAGAGGTTTAGAGGATTATAAAAGCTTTCAACAGAATTGTGAGGCAGTTGTTGGCTACAAAGCATTTTGTCTGTTGCTGGAACAGTCCTGATTTATAAGAAGTTATGAAGAAACTGGGAAGCTGGGAAGGAACACTGTTTATATCAGAGAAGCTGTGTACAGAGCTCTGTAGAATAGAACTGGGTTGCATTGTAGAAGGCACAGCCATTCAATATTGCAAGAAAAACAAGAAAAGCCTATGAGCATGGTACTTCTAGCACTATACCCCAGTTTGAAGACAAGACATAAAAGGTCATCACCATGATGAATTTGCACTCTAAATTGATCTTAAGACCAAAATAAGACATTTCCACAAGCTGATTTTTTTTCCAGCTGTGGTGAAAAAAGATTAGATGATGGGTTTCTTTAAATTATCTTGTGTTCAAAGTTGGATTATCTCCTGCCTAGTGTTTCTTTTTCACACAAAATAAAAATATTCTAAATGGTAGTGGTGTAGCATTTCTTACCAAAAAGGATAAAGTATAATCTTAGCAGTGATGATATCAATTCTGTCGTGTGGATGCTATGAGGGGACCACCATATGCTCAAAAAGGGTTGGAAATGTTCTGAGTAGTATTTTCTTATCTTGTTTCCTGTGAAGTGTTTTTGTTGGAAGGAAAGGTAAAATGCATATTGAAAACTAAGGGCTAACATTGCTGTTTAGAGTGTTTATGTTTCAATATTGTTTACATAGTTGGGTTTGCATTTGGTTTGTCTGTTGCTTTTTATATTTCACTGGGAAAATATCAACATGGATTGTTTTGATATGCGGTGGACTTTTAGATGGAAAAGGGATGAAGGAGGAGATGGCGAAGTCTGGCAACTCCCATTGAATCCAGATGTGAATCATTGCCAGCCTGTTTCATAACTTTAAACATATAAAACACATAGTTGAAAGCTGATTGTTTTTCTTGGCTTGAGATTATTTTTAATGTAATCTTGTTGAGCTTGATGACTGTGGTTTTTTCCTTAGACTTCTTTTACTTTGTCCTGGGCAATATACTTGCTGGCAAAGCACCCGGAGGTGCAGCAACGTGTTTATGAGGAAATAGTCAATAAGCTGAGGAAAGATCAAGTTCCAGCTGCCCATGATGTCCCAAAATTGCCTCTGATTAGAGCTGTCCTGAAAGAAACCTTGAGGTAAGCAGCAGACAATTAAAATATTTAATTCAATGTTATTCTAATGAATTTTGAGTCCATTTTAGCATTTTTAGTTTATTGTTGCTATTGCAATTTGCTGCTTCTACTTTTATTTATTTCAGCAGTATTGTGTCCAAGGATGCTTAAGCAATGAATAAGATAGATTATGTAATGTTTAATGTTTCTAAGTATGGTAGAAGTGGTATCACATACATAGGACGTGTCTGTTAAGGTAAGGAATCAAAAGCTTGATTTTTCCCTTTAGTCTGTGTGACAAAATGTAGGAAACTCCTTCCCCACACTGGTACTTTTCAGTGCCGCTTCAATGATTTTAAGCTTTTCGATTTAAATTAAAGGCATGTGACATACTTTTTTTTAATATGTTCATACTAAATGTCCATCATGAGATGAGGGGAGGGGAGTAAGAGGATTTTAAAGAAGGCATCAATAAAGCTTTTTCAGCTTTAGCAGCAGTGCTAAAATGTTGGCAGCTTGACCACCTACCTTCATGCTTGTACATGTGTAAAGCAAATAAATACATAGAACAAATAGCTCAACCTTCAGTTACTAATAAATAACTTTTCTCAGATGATGGTTATATTCTCACAGATGATTCAAGGTCTTTGAAGCTCCAAGGTGTTCTGTACTCCTGAAAAACATTTTTGGTGTAAATGAATATAGCATTCATCCACCATATTTGCGAATGCAAATTTGAATCTAAATTTTTTAAATTGTATTAGTTATTACTGTTGAACTCCAGATAAATATTTCTCACTAGGTTATATCCAGTACTGCCAGGAAATGGAAGAGTAACCCAAAAAGACTTGATCATTGGAGGATACTTGATACCAAAAGGGGTAGGTTATGTTGCAGTCCGCTGCAGAGAACAGTTTAATTTTTGCTAATGGAATATGATCTGCTACAGTATATATACACTTCATTGATTTTAAAAGATTTCACCATGCTAGAACATTAAGAGGAAAGTATGTCAGTAATACCCATTTATATGCCACAAACAGATTTTATTACTTATTGTTGTTGTTTTGACATTTTTTATTTGGGTCCTCACAGGCAAATGAAATTTATCATCGTGACTTCTTCTTAATATTTTTGAGGGTGGGGTCTATTAATAACATACTTGTGTAATGGTATAATTCAATAAAAAAAGCATGAATTTCATTATTCTTGGAGTTTTGTAATTCTTTGTCTGTTAACTCCCTTTGTAGAAAGTTTTTCTCTTTTTCTCATAGCAGCTTCATGAAACAATTCCCAATACTTGTGATTTGTTGCCATTTCCCTCTCCACTGCATCTTCTCTAATATATCCAGCAACACTGAAAACAATTGGAAGATTATTTCCTTTGACCAACTGAGAAAGGGATTTGATTTTTGAAGTATCCCTTTGTCTTTAGAATTACTCAGAGTTGCTTAAATTTTATCACCTCTTACTGCAGAAATTACAGTAATTGCAAATTCTTTTAAATTTTGTTATGTGCATTGGAACTAGCTAAATATAAATATAATATTTTTCCTCAGACCCAGCTGGCACTTTGTCATTATGCTACTTCATACAGTGAAGAAAATTTCTCAGTGGCAAATGAGTTCCGACCTGAGCGCTGGCTGAGGAAAGATAATTTGGACAGAGTGGACAACTTTGGCTCCATCCCCTTTGGTTATGGCATTCGAAGTTGTATAGGAAAAAGAATTGCAGAGCTGGAAATCCATCTTGCACTGATTCAGGTTAGAACTATGTGACAGCATTACAAGAAGAAAAGTGAATTGGTATTATTTTTTTATGTATGCCATTTCTGGGTATCTAATATTAGACAACACTCCAAAACCTTTGTTTTGGAGTGTTGTCTAATGTACTCATGGGGCAAGGATTTAAAAATTGAAAATAATCATGCTTGAAATGTAGCATACTACCTAAACTACTATCTATCTAAAATGGTATGATACACATGATGTAAAACTAAAGGTAAGTTTGTTAAGGAAATACATAAATTTGGTAGTAGGCTTACATAGAAGGTTTTCGTAAGAAAATCAGAAATCTTAACATATATTAGAATGGTTACCTGCTCAGTTTCTGTGTTTTAGTTAAAAGAATTCATAACTTACAAAGACATAAAATAGATTTTATATCCTTGTACTGATCACAGTGTCACGACAAACAGTATAATTTTTCTGTGTTCTGGGCTTTTCTGTATCTTCTTGTTCTTTCTTCAAACTCATTATCATTTTAGATATACATAATTTATAGTCATATAAATAGTACATATTGAGATATATTGTTTTTGATTGGTCATATCATAAAGAAAATGTTCCCAACAGCTGCTACATTTTTTGTCATTTACAAGACAGCCTATAGCTCAAATAATGAGTCCAGACTGTGCAATCAAATAGCAAAAATTTGGTAACTATTTATAGCTACTTAACTATAAAAATATTTAGATCCATTTTATGTATTCAAAGGAAAGTCTGATTGAATTTTTCTTTGAATTTCCTTCAGTAAATTTCTAGAGCAATCTCTGAACAATTAGTGCCTGTCTTTTGGAACTGCAAGTGAGAGCTCTCCCAGGGGGGTTGGTAAAACAAACATGCTTCCATCTTTTTGAAAAAGACACTCAAGGAAGCCATGGAGAACCTGCTTTGTTTTCTGGAAAGAAACTAGAATAAAATAGCACACAACCTATTTACAAACAAAGAGGTGATATTTAAGTGAGTTAAAATTAGAAACACATGGAGCTCATCAAAAAGAAATTGTTTCAGACCAGTCTGATTTCTTTCTTTAACTTGATCACTTACCTCATGTGGGGGTATAAAGTAAGCCAGGTATTCTGACTTCAGGAAGTATGTTCACATGTCCTGTATGTTTTTCTCTCAATTAAATTAATAAAATTTGTTCCAGATGGAAGTGCCCATAAAATACATGCACAGCTGGTTGGAAAAAGGAAATAGCTGGAGGCAGTGGCTATCAAATATTTGCTGTTGAACTGGGAAAGCATTTAATTAAAATTCTATAAAAGTCTGTCCTGCATTTGATTTAGGCTGTTATTTTCATTAACAGAGTAAGTGATGGATTAGAGAATACTTTTACAGTTTTCATGGGATACCAAGTTGTTGTGAATTAAGTTATAATCAGGGGATGTGAATATAGAATTTTGACAAAAAAGGAGAAATGTTCCAGAAGCAACACAAAATTATTCACTAGTAACAGTTACAAGTCAGTGCCCTTGAGAAGAAAGAAATGCATAAATACAAATTTATAAACAACTGTCTGGATAATATTAGTATCATAGGAACAGACTGGAGTGATATAGTAAAAAGTTGGTCAATTCTGACAAGGTTATGTGATTCTAGATAATATCAGCAGCATTAGCAGGCATTTTTTATGTCAGAAAGAGGAGCTAAATTACTCAGTTTTACCAAACTGATGAATTCTCACTAGGCAACTATAAACTGCTATCCCTATACACTGCATTTTAAAGACAAGATAGCCAAATTCAACAGTATTTGGAAGACAAAGATAATAAGAAGGATAAGAGATAACTACTTTATTTATAGAAAAAAGTGTTTGAGATTTATTATTAGGAAAAGTTGAGGATGTTGCAGTATTTTCCTCCTGAAAGTGTAAAAGTAGATAGCTGAGGTATTCTTCTTTCAGAAAAATGTGTCTGATGGGATTGGGATTCCTATAGCTTTCTTAATAATTTCACACATTGATTGATACTAAAGGAAGTGAAATAAAAAACACATAGAGAGGAACCTCACAAAGTTTTTAAGAGACCTTTGAAACTTTGACCAGTTTCTCTGATAGTTCAGACTGTTTAATCTGATTATGTAGAAGTTCTTCAGTAAGGACTTGCTTGGTCCTCCCTCCATCAGAGGAGGAAGATTTTGAACTATAATCTTTACCTTGTAACACCTTCTTTTTTTTTTCCTGGATGGGAATCATAGCACTTAAACACTGCCCAACTGGCAACACATATTTTGCTTGTGACAGTCTGTTATGCTCTCTTGTTTAAAGGCTACTCTTCACTGGTAATTTTGCAGTTTTTCTAATACTTGTCCTGTTTATGTTCACAGTTACTTCAGAATTTTGAAATCAAAATTTCTCCCAAAACTGAACCAGTTCATGCCAAAACTCATGGGCTTTTGACTCCTGCAAATTCCATCAATGTCAGATTTTCTGACAGGAAGTGAAACTCAAATGTTTCGGAAATACTTGTACAATTTTCATGGAAACAGGTTTGCATTTTGTGAAAGTTTAAAACACTCTTGTTCTCTGGTTTGTAGGTATTTGACAATATAATGAAGTATTATGTTCTGCCTTCTAGCAGTACATAAGAGCAATTACCTCTCCTGTAACAGTTAATTACACATATGAAAATATATACCAAAAAATTCCTTCTTGCACTGGGAATCTCCTTTTATTTAGAAGAATTCCTAGTAATAACAAGACATGCATTGAAAAAAATCAACCCAAAGTAAATTTGGACATGTCAATATCATTCAGTAGTTTTGTTACGCTGCTATTCAGTGAGTGTATTTGAGAACAAGGGGATTATTATATAATATGTGGAAATTAGCTGCATGTGTAAGTTTGTATTTTCCTGTTTCTTGTCCTCCAGTGGGTTTTTTTAGAAGTTTCCATGTAACAATGAAGTTATGAGATCATTTTTTTATATGTAAAAACATTTACTCTGCATGTATGAAAAAAAAAATCCAGTAATATAAAAAGTAAAGATAGAAAAAGTGCAACTTGTCATGTTGTTTAGACTTGAAATACAGAACATATACAAATTTATCTAAACTTAATCCTATAGTTTTCTATAGTTTCTATATAGTTTTAAAAAAATAAAAATCTTAAAAATGAAAATTTAAACTTCACATTGGAGAGTTTGAAGCCAGGCATTGTTCTCATCACCAAAGCACAAGACACTTTCATTGTTCTAGCTAATATGTCAAACTCAAATGTAAATATTAAAAGGAAGTAGTTGTTACATGTTTATCATTTTTAAAATACTACTTTTAACTTTATTCACAGTTCTTCAACAGTAAGAATTGTAAACTTCCCATTTTAACTTGCTGAACCCATAGGCAAATACAGAGTTCTGTAGGATGGAAATGTGACTACTGATGTATTCAGAGAGGTTTTTTGCTATCTGGTGCCTAACAGAAAGAGTGGACACCTGGAAGTTTGGGTTCTGTCTTTTGGGAATAATTTTGTTTGTTTGTTTGGTTGGTTGGTTTTTTCATTATTACTACTTTTCCTGTGACAGCCAACAGAAAACTCTTACATGATACTTTGGATAACTTTAGTATCACTGCACTAACCTTACATTCTCATTTTTGAGACAAACCTTGTACCCTGTATCCGCTTTATGCCTTGAACAACATTCAAGCCTGCATATCCAAATATGATACATATGTAATTATATATAGTTAACTGTTTACATGTCAGGCTCTGACTGTTTTTTGGGAGGTAGTTTACATAATGACAATCATAAATATTTCAGCTAAATAAACTTAGCAAAAGTTTTGCAACTTGGTTTTTGGCAAAATTTTTCTTTGATTGTCTACCTTTGGAAGTCAAAGACAGGTTAGAAATTAAATAATACTGTAGTTTTAATGGTGTACATGAAATTTCACATTGCTAGCTAGCTACTACAGTCACATTGTTATAGTATTTTGATTCCTTTTTGTGGTGCCTTTTCAAGGTTTAGATAAAAAAATCCCAAAATCTCCTTTGTATGGAACTCATATACAAAATAATAACACTGAATAAAATTGATCTGATCTATAAGAGGATTAAATGCTTACATAAGGACTTTAAAATGTTATCCTTGTATCGAGTATATATGTGTACTGTAAGAAAACCAGGTATTCTGTTAGGAGTATTTTCCTAGAACAAGCTTGCCTTCTTCCAGGGCTTCCAATTACTCCATGTTTTGGGTTTATTTTCTTTTTTTTTTTCCCCTTTTTTCCCTTTTCTCATTGTTTATTTCAATTGTCTCCATCTTAAATCAAATGAAGACATTTGTATTTGCCAGAGCCAGCTGACATCCCAAAGGAGATGTTTTGCAAAATCAGTTTAAAAGTCTATGGACTGAGTATTTGACTCCATAACTCTGCCTGGTTTTGTTGACTTGGAGACAAAGAACTCCTGCCTTGAATCTAAATTTGGATGCCATATGGTGCCTAGCTTTTGCTTTGTCATAGCATCATTAGAAACACTAGCCACTGCTATGTTGCAGTACATTTGCTGCTTGGTATGAATCCCTAAGTAATACATCAATGTAGAAGATGGAAAAGACATTCTAAAATGCTTTTTGTAGCATTTGAATCTTTTAATGAAAACAGCCAACATTTTGTTCTAATAGAGCACCTATCCATGTAAGTTGTCTTTTATACATAATAAAATATTTATACAGAATTTAAAAGTCTTGGTTCTTATATTAATTACTATTTATACTTGCATTTTCCTTTAACAGCTTAAAGTCTTTAACTTGTTGTATTGAGGTGAAATATTCACTGCTTCATGGGAAATTAACAGTTCAGCTAGAAAATACGGGGATTCTTACAAGAATTGAAGGTGTGTAATGACTTGGCAAAAGGGGAAATAACATTATGTTAAGAGTACTGTCATTGGGGAGGAAAGGTGCTAGTAAAGTTATCCAAGAAATACCCAAGGACTGACTCTAATGTTAATGTTTTGATTAATTGCTTAATACATAGAAGAGTATTTAAGATATAAAGAAAAAAGGCATAAAGTGTGAAAATCAAATCAAAACAACAACAACAACAAAAAACCAAAATGTAATAGAAATGGGCTGGAATTTCATAGCAAAATATGTGTATGTAGGAAATAAAAATAATTTATTTGAGGAGCTCACTGCTTGAGAATGTAATATGTAGAGGAAGGCCTACGTAATCACAGGTGACTAGAAAGTGCAAATATGTGAGAATAATGACAAATACAGCCTACAATGTATGACATGCAATCTGACCTATTCTTCCCCAATTTCTATCAGAGATTCTTCTTAAATGCTACAGTACAGTGTCCTTAAGTGTTCAAGAAAGGTACAGTTTGTTTTGGATAGATGAGGATACACTAAGATTATCAGGTTAATAGTTTCTGTGAGTGGAGAAAGGGTTATACTACAATGGTTTTTGCTCTGCCTCCCTGTGGTTTGATGGCAAATCAAGCCCTGGCACATCTGGCAGATATGTAACCATGGGCTTAGGAGAACTTGGTTTGTTGGACACAAAACTTCAGGACTGATTTTACTCCTTCCAGTTGGATTAGATAATAGATAGTGGAAACATAGATGTCTGCAAGAGACTAAATTTATTCTCAAAAAGTTAATGTAATTAGTCTAGAAAAGTGACTATTGTAAGAAGACATCAATTTTCTCTTCAAATACTTTCAGGTTAAGCTCTTTACTCCTTAAGGTAAAGTACAACTCCTGTTCAAAACAAATATCACCAGTAACAGTGAATAAATAAACTGGTGTGGAAAGTTTCAAACTATCAGGACAATTTAAGTTTAGAATAAAGTCACTGTGAGACATGGCAAAGACTGAAAAAAATAAAAAAAATAATATATCCCCAACCATGAAATGATAAAGCATGGTAAAAAGAATTCCATAAAGTTCAACTAGAGTTAGTCTATTCAGTTTGTTCTGTTTTTCCATACTCCCTTGTAGGCAAGGAAGGAATCTATGAGGTCAGTGGTGAAATAGTCAGAATGCCAGCGGAGCTTCTTAAATAGCCCAGCAGTGATGTGGCTGTGAAGATGGAGAGTAGGATGCCTGGCAGCCATGAACATGAGAAGTAGGCACTGGGGGTGTGTTTGGAACTAGGAACAGAAGGGTTGTGCTGGTACTTGGGACTGGGAAGCGAGGAGTGGGAAAGCCACACGGAGCAGAAGCTTTGTGGCTGTACCAAATATCACATGGGCTGCAAGTTCAAGAAGTGGAGAGGTGAGCTGTGGACTGCACAGAGGATGGGGCAGGCTAAGAAAAAAGGATGAAGCAGGAGTAGTTTGGGTGCCTGATGTGTACTATTTGCAAAAAAAGAGGCCGCTACTGGTTTTGATCACAGAGGCTTTTCCTTCCTATGGTATGTTGTCATACAATGTTTATATTAACATTAAAACATGCTATCACATAATTTCATATGATTACTAGAGATTTATATCTTTGATAATGCCAAACTTCGCCAGTGCATGCCCAGAGAAAGACTCAGAAATGCTGTAACAAACCACTGATTCTCAGTGCTCAGAACAATGTTAGTTTGCACTGGCGGGCTCCCACGGTGGCAGATGCATCCAAGGGTTTTTCACCTCCTGAAGTGTCACAGAAGTGTCAATAGAGGATTTACAGGGCCAAGTGAAAAGCAGATGGTAGGATGATTTAAAATGCTACCAAGTGATAGTCCCAGCACTGTACAGATACTGAGCACAGATGTAAATATGTAAGCCAATACCATCACTGGGGAGAACAACTGGTCTTACACATTGGACCCTTCTGATTTTTGTGAAGTGAGCACGTCTGTTGTGGACAGTATTTATTGAAGCAAGATAAACTACAGTTCCCTGGAATGTGTGCTGGAAAATATTTGGGAAGCAGTCCAAAGTTGCTAAGTATTTCTTATTCCTGTGTAGGTTTTCACCTAAACCTTACACATTCAGTAGTAAATAATAAAGGTGAATGGAAAGGTGTGAGTAGTAAATTATTTTGGTGCCTGATCTTTTAAAAGTATATATATATGTGTGTGTGTGTGTATAATAAAAAGAAAAATATTTTATCTGCTGTGATTAATGCATGTGTTCCCTTTATCCCTTTCGAGGGATACTTACAACAGAAAATAAGTATACATATATGTATGCTAAGAGGTTGAAAATATTTATGCATGTTCTTGCTGGAAAAAAAAAAAAACCAAACACGTAAATGTCATGTGGGTATTTCAAAAATAATTTCAGCTGAGTTTTCCCTGTTTTTCCAACAGGATTCTCCTCAGGAAACCACTGAAAATACTACACTGTGATTTTGGTACCACTAGGTGGTGCTGCTTTTATATTATTTCTTAGTGAAAGTCTGTGATTATGTATCTATGGAGAAAAAAATAAATATATCTAAGAGCAATGTACTTATTATGGCTTCTTAAAGACACAGGAGTTTGGTTACACTTGTTTGAAA